TTTTTTTATAGTGGTTGATTTCTAGTTTCATGGCATTGTGATCTGAGAAGATGCTTGATATGATTTCAGTCTTCTTGTATTTGTAGAATCTTGCCCTGTGCCCTAACTCACCTTCAATTTTAAATGATAGCCTTGCTAGATAAAGCAATCTTGGTTGCATGTTCTTGCTTTTCATTACTTTGAGAACTTCATGCCACTCCCTTCTGGCCTGAAGAGTTTCTGTTGAGAGATCAGCTGTTAGCCTTATGGGGGTTCCCTTGTAGATCACTGCTTGTCTCTCTCTTGCAGCCCTTAATATTTTCTCTTTTTCCTTGCCATTTGCCATTTTAATTATGATGTATCTTGGAGCGGGTCTCTTTGGGTCCCTCTTGTTTGGACCCTTTGTGCTTCCTGAACTTGTGTGATGTTCTCATTCACCAGCCTAGGGAAGTTTTCTGTCATTATTTCCTCCACCAAGTTCTCTATCCCTTGTTCTCTTTCCTCCCCCTCTGGCACTCCTATAATGTGAGTGTTGTTTTTCTTCATGTTGTCGCAAAGCTCCCTTAGACTGTTCTCATGCTTTTTAAGTGTTTTTTCTTTTTGCTGCTCTGATTTTTTTCTACCATGTTTTCTAATTCACTTATTCTATCCTTTGCTTCATTGAGCGTGCTTTTAATTCCTTCCAGTGTACTCTTGATATCAGATACAGCATTCTTTATTTCTGTCTGATTTTTATTTATGCTATGTATCTCTTTTTTCATGTTTCCACTACGGTTCTCCATCTTATCCTCTAGTGCCTTGTTTTTCTCATTAAGTTCCTTGAACTTCTGTATAATCAATACTCTGAACTCTGTTTCTGATAGCTTGCTTAATTCCATCTCATCAAAGTCTTTTTCTGGCGATTTTTCCTTTTCTTTAATTTGAGGGTTGTTTCTTTGTCACCATTTTGGTAGGTCTTAGTGTTTATATCTATATATTAGATATATTTGCTGTCTCCCAATCTTGTGGGGTGGGATTTTGTATTGTGAGTCCAGTGGAGCCCAGAGGTGTGTTTTCCTTATACTTCTGAGCTCTTTGCTCTAGTCGTGTCCCTTTTGTGGGTGTCCGTTTTGTAGGTTCTTTGGGTTCTCCTTTTGTGGTTGGGTCTAGACTGTTGTTGACTAGTCCTTGGAAGGACTCTCCCCTCAGCTTGGTTAACTGTCTCAGCCACAACTTCATCGTGTAAGCTGTTGTACAGGTGCTGGCAAGACAGGACAATATNCTGTCTCAGCCACAACTTCATCGTGTAAGCTGTTGTACAGGTGCTGGCAAGACAGGACAATATACAACTAAACTTCCAGGAAACAAGTGGTATCTTACAAAATATCTTGACAGTCACAATGAAAACAACCCAAGTAGAAACAGAACTGGGAGAGTGAAGGGAGAACAAACACACACACACACAAAGCTTAAAGAAAAAGAGAGAAAGAAAAGTAAAGCTTAGAGAGAGAGAAGTATATTGTTGTTAATAGTGATGAAAATTTAGAAAGTAATAATAAACTAAAATATAAAAAATAGAGAAGCTACTGGGAGATAATAGAGGCAGAGAAAAGATTCTGAAAGAAGGGCCAGTAAAAAATTAAGGGAGAGAATAGGAATAGGATAATAGTTGAAAAGGAAAAAATAAAAATACAATAAAGAGAATAAGAGAAACTAACAATCGAACAAAAGGACAGGAAGACAGAAGGGAGGAAAACAAAAGAAAGAAAAGAAGAGAAAAAAAAGTTATGCCAATGGATTGAGATGAGAGAGAGAGATAAAACCTGGGTAGAGAGGGAGCCCAATAAGAGATTTGGGGGAAACTATAGAGGAAAGCAGTAAACTTGTTAGTTATAATGATAAAGTCCTAGCAATTAAGCATGAATATCAAGAAAGTCTTGAGAGTAGAAGGATAAAACAAAACAAATTAACAAAACAGAGAAACAAAACAAAAAACAAGCTAAGCAAAATAAAGTTCTTTTATATAAAAAAGTTAAAAATTTTTTAAAAATTAAATTCTTATAAAATTTAAAAACAAGAAAAAACAAATACATTTTCCCTCTGTTTCTCTTCTTCCTAAGGGAAAAAGAGAACAAACAAACAAACACACAGACAAAAAAGCAAAACAAAAACAAAACAAAAAATCCAGAAAAATCAAATACAAAAAAAACACCCCAAAACAAAAAAAGTAGTCAATCAGGTGAGTTTCTTCTGGGCAACTTATGTTGTCTGAGGGTCACTGTTTTGTGTGCTGATTTCAGTTTTCCTGGGAGGTGCTTGTGTATCACCCAATGTGAGGAGCCGTCTAGGTTTGGCTCTGGTGTCCTCAGGTAGATGGTTGCTCTGAGGCTCTCCATGGGCCACCTCCTATAGTTAGCTATTTTGCAGCCTTGTAGTTGCCTGGTCTTACTCCAGAGTCTTCTGTAGAGTCTTTAGGGTGCAGAGTGGCTAGTGTAGCCCAGGGTATCACTCCCCTTAGAGGTATCGCTGTCAGGCGCTCACTCTGCGGGAGTTAATCTCTGCTCCACAGCCAGCTCCTCAGTCCCCACCCTGTCCTCTGATTCTAGTTCCCCGGGCTCTGGCCTGTTGCAGCTTCAGATTGATTTCCGCCTGTTGCCTTTTCTGTATCGGCCGTTTCAGCAGTGTGGGCTCAATTAAGAACATTCCCCTGAGCCCCTTGCCTGCCCAGCCCCCAGCAGGGTTTTCAGCGTTTCCTCCAGGTCCCAAACAACAGTCCCTGAG